AGCATCTGGCAGTTCCTGGGCAGCATCCTGCAAGGGAAGGCCCAGGTGTTCGGCATGACCCGCCCAAATGTTTCACTGGGAGGGACAGAAGCCCAGCCTCCCAGGCCAGGGTGACCTACACCCCCAGGAAGGCAGCAGAGAGGAGAGGAGCACTGCAGGAAGGAGGTGCGAGCAGACACAGGGCAGGGACGGGGTGCCAGTAGTTCCCTAAGTCTCCTTCCTCAGCGCAGGCTGGGAGTGTGGTCCATGCTGACACGGAAATGGCCCATCAGACAAATGCTCCTGGAGCAGTGGAGGAAAGAACCTGGCAGGGGCAAAATGGAGTCTGGAGAGTTCCTCCTGCCTCAAGTGTCCCTACCTCTGGATGCGGATGCTCTGATCTTGGTGGCCCTGAGTAGCTATCATCACGTCAGCCTCGTCCAGAACAAACACCTTAATCTTCTTGGGGTCAATGAACTTGAGCTTGGAGCACCAGTCCAGAACGGTCCCAGGAGTGCCAATGACAATGTGCTCACTGATCTTCTGACCTCTTTCCACTGTGGAGACAAGATGTGTCTGTGGGTATTTCCTTGGCAAAGCCAGCTCCCCTCTGTGAGACATTTTAAAGCTATGATGTATTTTAATGCAGTTGTTTTGATATTTGCATTAATACTTTAAGGGAAGGTTAGGATAGCACTATAGTATTTAATGGGCATACATACAAAAAACAGGTAGTAATGCTGAAAAGATACAGTAAGGGTATAAAGAATGAGATGGAAACCTCTTCAGTGGTATTCTTTACATTGTCTACAATCATCAATCCTCTTTCAAGGATCTGTTATCTTTATTTCTTCTCCGCCAACCTTCTCCCCAGCCTAGGTTTGCATTTCCTCACAGGTAGACTTTTTCAGAGTTCTTCTTACTCCAATTGTACTCTGCCCCTCGGCTCTCCCAGCATCTATACTGAATAAGTCAGTTGCCTTTACATGCCCCTTGCCCAGCTCAGTAAATAGGACTCATTATAAAAGGTGTTGTCTCCTCAAAGAAACAAACTGCCTCTCTTAGATAGAGTGCTTCCTCCCTCTAGGCCTGGCAGACCACGGCACATCCTTGAGAATTTGGCTTATTTTGAGTTAGGTGGTACTTACTGATTCAATTTTTAGTCCTGTAATTACAGTGCAGCCTTGACCAGATACGTATAATACATACATATATCTGGCTCCAGTCACAGCCAAAGTTTTGCCCAAATGTCAATGTTGAGTCAATTCAAAGTTAACAAATGCTGCCTCTCACCAGTTAACAAACCAATTACTGCCCGCCACAAACAAATATTCAGAATCCTCTGCCATCCTGATTCAAATCCAAATTTCAATATTTTAAATGTCTTATGATGATTTTCCACTAAGTTTTATTATTTTATTAACTTTTCTCCTCAGAACTGACTTAAGTTGGCTTTAGGACACTCTAGGCAGATTTCTGACAGTCATAAAGTCACAGGTTTGTGTTAAAGATCCACAAGACAACCAAGATTCCCACAAATTTTAAAATACTTAAATATTGTTAGTTTGTTGTAAAACAAGCAAAAATAGAAAGGATGGATAAAGAAAATAATATAAATAGCTCCCATAGTTAATCACCATGAACATTTTAGAACACTTTTGTTCTTCTAATGACATTAAAAAGAAATTAAGCTATTAAACAAATCCAGAATTTGGAAGATTTTATATGAAACTTGTTTGGTCTGTTGAAAAAGTCAAATGCAACGGTGGGGGGAAGTGTGAGGGACTATTCCAGACTGAAACTTAACGAGATGCAACAACCAATATGCAATGCATATACGTTACTCGATCTTGGTTCAAAAACAAAAAAGCCATAAAGAAACACTTCTGGAACAACTAGGGTAAAATGGAAATGGACTAGATGTTAGTTATTAGAGAATCTATTAATTTTCTTGGTTGTGATAAGGGTACTGTGGGTATGTTGAAGACTGTTATTATGAAATGCATACTGAAGTATTTAGGAATAAAGAGCCACATTGTCTACAATCTACTTCCAAATGGTTCACCAAAAATACACATATACGTGTACAGATAAAGCAAATATGGCAAAATGTTAACTTTTCGAATCTAGGCAGAAGGCACATGTTCATTGTATTATTTCAACTATGGCGTACATTTTGAAAATTTTCAAAATGAAAAGTTATTAGCTTAATTCACTAGGACCACATATTCATACTCACATTTATTGCCACGAACAGCATATGCTAGCTTCAGTTCAGGATAAAATTTGCCCATCTGCTCAATCACTTTTCCAGTTTGAAGAGCGAGCTCATATGTTGGGGAGAGGCACAGACACTGGCAGGGAAAGAGTGCAGGGTGAGAATTCAAGACACTAGCTCTTTTGCAATGGGGAATTATCATTAGGATTTAATTATTCCTCCAGCTGAGGCTGAAGGATAGGATGTATAAAGTGCACACCATTCAATTCTTTAAGCTGCATAAGCTAGAATTTTTAAGGGTCAGAACTCTGGCTGGGTAAAGATGCTGAAAACAGCTATTGGTCACTGGAGTACCAAAACCTACAAGTAAGCAGGGATCTGAAATTCCAGTTGGAGATCAGCTTCCTTTCTACTTACTCAGAAGGTTCTCAGAACTTTCTAATGGATGATAGTTGTAGATGAAGGAGGTTTTTCCTGAAACTAAAGGAGTCAGAACTATCAGCAGTATCCCAAGGCTGGAAAATCATCAAAAGGGGAAGAGGATTTTTGTTGTTACTGGAAGATTGACCATGTTGTTTATGCTCAACCTAAGGAGTTCTAGTTTATATGAAGAGTAATTCATAGCTTGGCTTTTAATCCATCAAGTGGCATTTCCCTTCTAGCTATGGGTTAGAAAACCCAAATTCACCAAGGCCTTACCTGAGGGTATCTGTTTGCAGGTTCTACTTGGCTGAGCATGGCCAACACAAAGGCAGCTGTTTTACCAGTACCAGACTGAGACTGGGCAATTAAGTTCTGTGGGCTGCACAAGAAAACAAACTGTTTAGGAGTTTAAATCGCAAGTATTCTTCCCGTGAATAAAAGTAAAGAATAAAGCTTAATTAAAGAATGAGTATTCAAACTTAATTTACAGAAGGAGGCCTTGGATTCTGTAGCAGAGTTACACATGCTACCTTCACAAACAGAAGATTTTATGGTGAGATTTGAAGCAGTCCTTATCTTTTATCTATTCTTTACACAGCAGTCAGTGATTCTCTTAAAATATGTCAGCTGATATCATGTTTCTGCTCAAAAACCTTCCATTTGCTCCAGATTTCATTCAGAGTAAAAGCTGAAGTTCTCATAATGCCCTCCCAGGTCCTACCTGATCTGGATCTCTACACTTTCTCTCTGTTCTCATCCACCACCCTCTCCCTTACTCACTCCACTCCACCACAACGGCTGCTCTGAAAACATGCCAGCCACACTCTTGTCTTAGGGCTTGGGCACTGGGTATTCTCTGCCTGGGACAATTGTTCCCATATGACAACATGTCAACTCCCTCCTCTCCTTCAAGTCTCTGCTCAGGTATCACCTTCTTGATGAGATTCTACCCTATTTGATTTAAAATTGCAGTGGGGAGGGTATAGCTCAGTGGTAGAGTGTGTGCTTAGCATGCAGAAGGTCCTGGGTTCAATCCCCAGTACCTCCATAATAAACCGAATTTATCCCCCACCCCCCAAAAAAACACAAACCTACTTTGAAATGCCTTAAAAAACAAGATGTATTGGATACATACATGATAAAGCATAATAAAATGTTAATGAAAGAATCTGGGGGAGAGGAGGGTATAGCTCAGTGCTAGAGTGCATGCTTAGCATGCATAGGTCCTAGGTTCAATTCCCAGTATGTCCATTAAAAATAAATCTAAAAAAATACCTAATTACCCACCCCAAATTAACTTAAAAAAAAAGAATCTAGGAGGTGGGTATATAGGTGTTCACTATAAAATCCTTTCAACTTTATGTTTGAACAAATTTTCTTAAAATGTTGGGGGTAAAACCGCAATCAGGTCCTTGGTATTCCCGATCTCCCCTATTATGCTCTGTTTATTGTTCTCCTTAGCATTTATCACCTTTTTAAAAAATAACTTTATTGAGATAATAATTCATGTATCATACAATTCACCCTTTTAAAGTATACAAGTCAGGGCTTTATGCTATATTACATTTTTTATTTTTTAAAATTATGGTAAAATATATAACATAAAAATTTGCCATTTTTAAGTGTACAATTCAGTGGCATTAATTATAATCTATCACCTTTTAACATACCACATATTTTATTTGTTTTTAATAAAAATAAATCAACTATACTCCAAACTAGAATATAAGCATCTTGTGGGCAAGAGTTTTGGTCTGCTTTGTTCATTAACGTATCCAAGTGCCTAGGATAGTATCTGTTACAAACCAAGCCCTCAGTAAATATTTGTTAATGAAGAAAAAGTACTAGATAATTCTCTCAAGTCTCTTCTAACATTGATAATGTAACAATGAGCATCTATGAAAGCATCAAAATCCATTAAGTAAAAATGACTAAAGTGAAACAATCTACTAAACATTCCATTTATTCACTTTTAAGTTTGCTCAAAGTGACAAGTAAAAAGAAGAAATTACCCATCTTGAAAAAGATGTCACTTTTATGACACAGAACAAAGAAAACTTTGAAGAAAATAAGACCTAAAATATCTATTTTCAGACAAATAAGGAAAGGGCTTTTAGGATTTAGGATTATATGCAGTACAATTTTACATAATCATATATAATGTAGGGATCAATTTCTATCAAATATTCCTATGCCCCGGAACTTTGTTACTCAGAAAGTTGCCTGACACTAGCAGTATCAGAGTCATCCAGAGCTTATTAGAAATGGTGGACCTCAGTCCCCACCTCCTACCTACTGAAATCAGAATCTGCATTTTAATTCATTCCTATGAGATTCACATACCTATGAAAGTGCAAGAAGCACTGCACCAGAAAACCACCTCAGTAACTGTACTATTCTGGTGTCCTAGAACCCTGTTTGGTTTCTGCCTACTACATTTGACACATAAATTTTACATATCCATACACTGAAATCACGTTGTATATAAATGACATAAATGTATATATATTTACCAACATAGATTATCTTATAATTAAGTTTTTAAAAAGCATTTAAATATTCTATATGGTTCCATTAAGAAGAAAATATACATATGTAAGTTTACACAGAAAGACATCTAGAAGTCTCTACTCCAAATATTAAGAGTGTGTTGGAGGGAGATCACAAGTTTTTTTCTTACTTTTCATTGTTTTCTAACTTTTTTAAAAGAAGCACAAATTACTAGTTTAGTTTTTAAAATAATAAAAGTTTAAAAAAAACATGGAAAATTGAATATGGGATAGAGTTGCATCAGGACACATACGGCTCAGCAAGCATCAAAGGCAATGCATTCTCTTGTATCTTGGATGGACGGTTGAAGCCCATGGCATAGACTCCCTGGAGAAGCTGTGGTTTCCTAGAAAAACAGTTAAAGATGAAAGTCACAGTCTTTTGGCTGAAGAAAGAAGCCAGATATCTAGCTAACAATACGTTAATTGTAAACTGAGCACAATGTGTGAGTGCAACTAAAGCTTTTACAAATTACCTGGAAATTTTACTTACTAGCCTAAAGCAGCTAAATTCTTTTATTAAACGTGTGTTAGCTCAAAATGTTCTGCTGTGATTAAAAAAAAAAACATATTAACAAGCCTAGGAGTTCTACCTAAACACAAAGGGGAGAGTCAAAGTAAGTACTCACAGGCGTAGCTCCTCGAAGGACTTCACTGAGTAGAGAGGGGAGTTTGGATCCCGCTGCAGGACTTCCACTTGGTTGGTGTTATCAACAAGGTTGCTTCTGATCAGCTTGTTGAGTAAGGATTGGGCGGCTCTGTCCTCTGTCAGGAAAGACAGCATGAAGATTTTTAAAAGTCTGTGAAATCCACACAACATTGTAAACTGACTATAACTCAATGAAAAAAAAAAGTCTGTGAAATCTAATGTGAGCTCATCTGAATTCAATTGCCTTTGGTATTTTAAGTAATAACATTTATTTGTACTGGGACTTCTGATTCAAGGTATATTTTAGTTTTGATTTGTAAATATAAATAAATTAAAGTCTGTATCTTGACATCATATAAGCTGTTTGCATCTTTTTATTCATGTTAAGTGTGTCAAAGTATCATTAAATATAATTTTATTAGAAAGTGGAGATGCATCCTAGAATTTCTTTTATAAAGACCTGTACATGATAATCATTCAGGGGTATTTCGTGCTGCTGCTGAAATTTATCAGTTGTTCAAAGGAAAACTTCTCTAGTATGTAAACAATTAGAATTGTTTTACCAATGACTAGGTCAAACTTTTACTAGCACTGTGGTTCCCATTAAAGTCCAACCAAGTAGCGTGTAAAAATGAAACCTTATAATATTTCATTCTCTTAGTGTGTAGAACTTCATGTATATATGACTCTAGGCTGTGTTACCTTTCTCTTCTTCATCTGTCTTCTCTGCATTAGCATTGGTCTTGACAACAGCACCTTTATCAGACACAAAGTGGCCGTCATTCAAAATCACATCCCATACCCAACAGCTGAGACAATTCAAATTCTATGAGACACTAGAAATGTAAAGGCCTGGGGAGCAAAAAAATAAGTGAGGAAACCAAGCCACAGATAAAAACATTTTATTGTTCCTACATAAACAAAGGTATGCAAACTGTTACTTGTATTTCAGTTCTTTCCTGTTCCAAGTCCTCTCACTATACCCAAAACCTAGTATTAATTTCCTTCACAGCATCAACATTTCTCAAATGTTACAGAAAGATCATTACAGCAATGATCAGAAACCACCCTGATGCTCAACAGAGGAATATCTATGCAAATCATATTTCATCAAAATATGAACACAATACCATTAAGAGACTATGAATATAAGCTGTTAACAGAAACACATATTCAGCATTGTAGTTATGTAAAAATATACAGAGAAAGATAATTCAGAATGAGATAAATGTTACAATTTCTCCCCTATAATTTTAAATACATCAACAAAAATTTAATGGAAATCTTAGATTTTTAGTAGATATGATTTCAGAATAATTACAATAGGTTAACTCTCAGGTTGCTCATACTTTGTCCATCTCATCTCAAATTGAGGAATATTTTTAAAAACAACAAATAATCTTTGGCAGTGTATTTTCATGATTAGTAATAAATTCAGTAATTTATAAACCAATTAACCATCCTCATGCTTATATTAAGCCCAGTATAAAACAATCCAGTTTGTTGATTCCCAAACTAAATGACTTCTAGTATCTGCCAGCCTCCTTTCTAGCACATATATAATTTTTTCCCAGATAGTTACTATGCTAAAACATAAATACTATAGGAGATCATGTTGGTTTTCAAACTAGCTTTTAGTTACTCACCATTGGCATCTGGCTTGATTTTCTCTTCCTTAAGATTCAAGTTGCTCAGCTAAATGGAGAATACAGGGGGGAAAGTGTCAGGAAAATCACTGAAAAGACTTTGTATCAACAGAGCCTACCCTAGTGAAGCTGGGGGGAAATGAACCACTCTCACAACCTATTCATTAGGACATATTCATTAGGATGTTCTGCTGGACTCCTTTTGTTTACTAAGTGTTAGGGCGAGAATAAACAAAATATCCCCTAAGTACAGCAATAGAAAAAAATTGATTACACAACAGCTCAAAATCCACATTACCTAATTACAATCCTTAGAGACAATTACAATTCATGAATTTGCTTAATGCCCTGATTACAAAGACCTCTCTACAGAATACCATTTGAGTTGTCACTCTCAATTTCCAAACAAGAAGAAATTTAAAGAGACCCTGGAAAATACAGTCATTCTTCAGAGAACACTGAGGTGGAGGACTACAATGAAAAGCATCTGTGGGTGGGAAACTGATTTCCTTGTATTAAATTTCTAATAAGATGACTTTCCAGAGAGTGACATTTGTTATGTTCTGGCTTTTAAAAGGTGAAATATAAATAAATTTCATAATTTATCCAAAAAAAAAAGGCCTCCCCCCGCTCCAGCTGGCCTCGAGCCCTGCCCCCTCAGGTTCCCCCTTCTGTGGGTGGGAATCAGCTATGCTGTGGGTTATGTTTGAGCCACAGGCAACAGCACACTGCTATGCATGCAACCTTAAATTTGGGTTGCCTTGTGCTGGATGTGTTATATTTTAAACTGGGAACAGCCTGGAGCATCATGGCACACTATATAATCAAAATACCCAGCAGGCTGAATTGGGAATAGAAACGAAGGGACAGAGCAAAGACATTTCGAAGAAAGATTTATTTGGATTTTGATCAAACACTGTAAATTATGGATTTCCTGGCAGGACATCCCTCCTCTATTACAACGAATATACCCTTTTATTTATCAATTATACCTCAGTAAAGTGGGGGGAAAAGAAAAACTTAAAGACAGGATATTTTTACTTTTAGTTGACCTTTGGATCTAGCACAAAGCAGATTAATAATAAAATATTAAGTGGGGCTTAAAACATCATATAGTGAGGGGGGAAGAATGAAAATCACCACAATCAAATGGCTATTTCTTAAAGCACCACCTACACAAGTTTTTTATGTTTTGGGGTTTATTTCTGTTTTTCTTCTAAGTTTAAGACAGAGGAAAGTAGAGGGAAGAATGTAAAAACTGTTTTAATGGGTAGTTAGTTGGGGGTGGAGGAATCTCACTTCTACTGGTGGAAACTGAAAAGGGAGTTTCTGGTGTCTCTGGCTACTTTGGTGTTGGGGTGGAGGAAGGGGAAACCAGGGAGAAATACACTGGAGAGATTGACAAGAAAGGAAACTGGCCAAAAAGAAAATCATTATAAAGCAGTAACAACCCGTTATTAATTCCAAAAAACAGATAATGAATATGAGGCAACCAGTATAAGATATGATATATAATAGATGTTCCATATAGTCTAGCCTTCACTACAGCACTCCTCCTCCACATCCTGCCACTGAACCTAGTTTAAGTGTGATATTAAAATCAGAGAGACTGACTTACCAGCAATATTTACAAGAGTAGGGTTAACAGTATTCACTCCTAGGGTGATAACTGCTACCTAAAATGAATGTTATGGCTGAGATATAAAAGAGTTAATGAGGTACCAATGAGTTAGAAATATCCTTTATTGTAAAGCATTTTAATATTCAATGATAAAAGACAACCTTTTTTGTTGTTGTTGATACAGTGTTAAAATTGAAGCTAACAAAGTAAATAAATAGTTAAAATAACTAAAATGCAATGTGTAGGAAAAGTTGATAGCAACAATGTAAATGAAATCAATAGGTATTATTTTGGTTACCATGTATCAGATTCTGGAGAAGTTACAGCAGATTCTGAAAACATACTCAGCCCTCATTTGGCTTTAAGTATCTCAAAGCCTATACAGCAAAAGCAACAGGACAGTGAAGTTTGTATCACCTACTGTGGTGTCAGTAAACCAAATGCTGAAATATACATTGAAAAGTCCAGTTAGTTCAGATTCCTTCCTTTGCTGTTTATTTAGACCAAAATGGAGAAACTGATTTCTCTTGCAAATTCTTTGGAAACCATTTTGAAATCCAGAAAATTAACTGAAAGGCACAAAAGCAAACCCACCCATCTTATAATATCTACATGTTTCAATGTTTTAATTAATATTTTAGTTTTTAAGATATGTTAAAATAATTGAAAACTACACCATTACACACTGCACTTTATTTAAAAACTACCTGAGAAAGGATTCTCGAGACATAAGGAGGAAGATTTAATGATGGGGGGTTATACTGAATAAAGACTGCCTTAGACATGATGGTGAAGTAGGAGACTTAGAGTCTTACCCATCAGAATTTCCTACTCCCTTTGCCCACCTCTAAATCGAAAAGAAATTTCCCAAGGAACCAGGAGGACAAAGAAAAACTACAGGGGAATGAGAAAATAAATATAAATAGGGTCTAATACTGTCTTATCTAAAATGAGTAAGAAACAAAGCTTGATGAGATATTAAAATACAGTAACTTTGCACTGTAGATGTCACAGTCACCTGTGTCACGCAATTCCTGTGGGGATCCTCAGTGGGAGTTCCACAAGCAGAGGTGAACAGTTGTCTCTGCTCATTTGCTCAGTTTTAGAATGCTATGATCTATTATAATTTACCTGTGCATGATTAAGTAGATTCATAAAACTTAACCAAGTTCAGCAAATCAGTACAATATGGACAAGTAATTTAAAAGATTCCTGTAAGCAAATTGTGAATTATAAATAGCAACAACAACAACTATAATAATAGCTATCACTTATATAGCACTTATTTTAGGCATGTCCATCACTCAATGAGTTATGTACTATGATTATCCCCATTTTACAAATATGGAGACTGAGGCACAGGATAGTTAAGCAATTTGCCCAAGATCATATAACTAGTCAGTGATGGGCCCAGAATACAAATCCAAGTCTGTCTGGCTACAAAGTTTTAGGTCTTAACTTCTACACAACAGTGCCTCTCATAGATGATACTAATCTCAAATAGAATAATACACTTAAAGATGATACAATGATGCAGTCACTCTGGAAAACAGTCTGGCAATTCCTCAAAAGTTAAAAACAGAGTTACTATATAATCCAGCAATACTACTTTTAGATATAAACCCAAGAGAATGGAAAATATATGTCCATACAAAAACTTGTATATGAATGATCATAGCAACATTATTCATAATATCTAAAAAGTAGAAAACTATAAATGTCCATCAATGGACACTGATGAATAGATAAATTATGGTATATCTATACAATGGAATATTATTTGGCAATAAAAATGAATAAAATACTGATCAGTTGCACAACATGGATGAACCTTGAAAATACTATGCTAAGTGAAAGAAAGCTATGAAAGATCATGTATTATATGACTAGTTTATATGAAATTTTCCTGAATAGGCAAATCTAAAGCAACAGAAAGTAGATTAGTGGTTGCAAGGAGCTGGGGTAGGAGGTTGAAGAGAAAAAGGGGTGAATGCTGATGGGTTCAGGTTTCTTTTCAGGGTGATGAAAATGTTATAAAATTGACTGTGGTAATGTTGATCCAATCTTCCTACTACATTAAAAAAAATAACTCAAAATGGATCATAGGCATAAATGTGACATTTAAAGCTGTAAATCTTCTAGAAGAAAATACAGATGAAAAGTTTTGTCCTTGGGTACGGTATATTTCTTAGAGCACAAAAAGAACTAATCATGAAAAAAACCTGACAAGTAGAATTAGCCAAAATTGAAAATGTCTGCTCTTCTAAAAGTACTGTTAAGAAATAAAAAAGCAAGTTTCAGTCTGGGAGACTATGCAAAGGGCATATCTGATGGGGAGAGGGTATATCTCAGTGGTTAAGTATGTGCTCAGCATGCACGAGGTCCTGGGTTCAATCCCCAGCACCTTCATTAAAACAACACATAAATAAATCTAATTACCTACCACCAAAAAAAATTTTTTTAAAGGACGTATCTGATTAAAGACTTGTATCCAGAATATATAAAGAATTCTCCCAACTCAAGAAAACAACCTGAATTTTCAAATGGACAAAAGATCTGAAAAGCCACTTCAAAGGAGTTATATGGGTGGCAAATAAGCACACGCAAAGATTCTCAATATCATTATTCATTAGGGAAATGTAAATTAAAACCTCAGTGAGACACCACTATACACCTACTAGAATGGACGAAAAGAACTGCCATGCTGTGCTGATGAGGATATGTAGCAACCAGAGCTCCCAGACATCACTGGTGGGAACACAAAATGGTACAGCCACTTTGAAAACAGTTTGGCATATAATTTATAAAGTTAAACATATACTTAACGTATAACTCAGCAAATCACCCTCTTAGGTATTTACCCAAGAGAAATGTAAACATAAGTCCATACAAAAATTTGTATCCTAATATATATAATAGCTTTATTCATAATTGTCAAAGACTAGAAAATATCTGAATGTTCAACAGAAGATGGTACATCCATATATGGAACACTAAAAAGACAAACTATTGATTCATGTAACTACGTCGTTGAATCCCAAATGTATTATGCTAAGTGAAAGCCAAATTTTTCAAAAGGTTACATATTATATCATTTGACTTATACCACATTTTGGAAACTAAATGACAGAAAACAAATCAGCAGTTGCTAAAGAAGGGCAGGGAGAAGGAACTGAATGCAAAACGTTTGATGGAACTTTTTGGAGTGGTGGAAATGTTCTATATCTTGATTGTGGTGGTAGCTACACAATTGTATGCCTCTGTCAAAATTCACAGAACTGTAGTACTAACAAGGGTGAATTTTACTTTATATAAACTGTATCTCAATAAACTTGACTTTAAAAAATTAAAAGGCAGTCTAAGAGATTCAACATTCAACTAATAAGAGTCTGGAAAGATGGAATAAAAAAAGGTGAAGAAATTAAAAACGAAAAATTTCAAGATTTCCCATAATTCAAGGACAAAAGTATTCCAGATTGAAGTTCCCACCAAGTGCCTAGTAAAATGAATGAAAATAGACCCATACCAAGACATATCATCATGAATTTTCTGAATACTGAAGACACATAGAAGATTCTTCAAGCTTAGAAAAGTAAAAAAAAAAAAAAAAAGTCACATCAGGAATCTGAACAGTCTCAGACATCTCAAAACAAATACAGACATCCAGAAGGCAATAGAACAATTCCTTTAAAATTTGGCAGAAAAAAATAATTTCTATCCTACAATTCTACTGCCAGCCATATTATTATTCAGATAGGGCAAAAGAAGCTAATTTTGGAAAGGCAATGTATCTTAAGGAACTTACTTCCCATACATATGCAGAAAGCTGATGAATGGCTCCACCAAATTAATAAAGACAAAGAGAGGGGATACAGAAAGAAGGGGATCCAATATAAAACAGAAGGAGATCTGCCCAGAATGAGGGCAGAAATTAGCCCTATTCCCCTCCAGTACCCAAAATTAACTGTGCTCTAAACATAGGGACTACTAGCACAGCTTGAAAAAGGCTAAAAGACCAGGCAGAAATGGAATTGATAGAATACTTGATGTGTCTGAACATCCTGCAATAAACTTAGACAATTAGCAAAGAGCTTGGGGTTGAATTGGTGATAAGCACAAAGAGCACAATGCAAAAACACAAGGCAATGATAAATTCCAAGGAAAAGTTGTACAGGAAATAAAAGAATTCACAAATTGACTAATATAAATACACAATACTGGTCTAATTAAGATGACAATAAAATGAAGAAATGGGGAATGGGAAGGTGTGCTTTTGTGGCGGGGAAAGGAGAATGGCGGAAAGTGTCAAAATCAATAAACATCTAAAACGGAAAATTCAAGAAGTAGCAAAGCATGCATGTTATCCAGGGAATAAGGAGGTCAATATTGTAAATCGATTCCAAGAGAAATGGTTATATTAGGAGTTCGAGATTTGCGGACACTAACTACTACTTGTTGCAGATACAAATGTATACCGTATAGAGCACAGGGAACTATATTCAGCATCTTATAGTAGTAATCTATAATGAAAAAGAATATGAAAAGGAATGTATGTATATATATGTATGACTGAAACATTATGCTGTACATCAGAAATTGACAGAACATTGTAAACCATACTTCAATTTTTTAAAAAGGTTTAAAAAGTTTTAAAAAAGAAAAAAGAAATAGTTTTCTCTGGAAAGGAAAGAAATGGGCGGGAACTAGTTTTTAAAACTATTTGACTCGAACTATGTGTACATGAAACATTTTTTAATCATTTGTAAAAAATAAGACTAAGAACTTGTTCTCGAGAAGTTCATAGGAACAAGTATTAACAAAGCGGGTCCTATGCACTATCAGAATTTAAGAGCGTTTCGCAGGGAAAAATTAATCCCACGTTGTAACGTTTAACACGCATGTTGCTTACTGTGTGTCAGGTCCAGCACAAAGTTAAGCGGATCAGGAGAGGATTTACTGACTGCCAGGCCTACAGTCTATCATTCATCATCACTGAGCAAGCTGAACCGCACAAATATGTATAAGCCATGGTCCCTGAGCCCAAGCAGCTCAGAATCGGGATATGGAAAATGACAGCTACAAAGGCGATTACTACAATTCAGGGTGGTGAGTGCAGTCAATACTGACTCTAGGAAGACAGACGGATGACTGGTCTCTTTACAGATGGGAGCGCTCACCTGAGCTTACATAACCGGGAGGCAGGTGGGTAAAGGAAGCCAAGGGCCAGGCTCCTTCCCCCCGACACCCTATTCCGGCCCAGACCAAGCTAGGGATTTTTTCCCAGGGATCTGACCCCCAGCCAAAACTGGCCCCCTGACCCTTTTACGGCTGAAGCCAACTCACCGACTCGGCCGCCGCTTCCTGCTCGTCCACCGCCAGGGCCCACGAGTCAGTGGCCATGGTGCCGGGCGCAGCTGAGACGCTGGTGCTGGCGAACTCGCCGGCTAGCGCGGCGCGATGAGCGATCCGCGATCCCGGGTAACTCCGGCCCCACCAAGGGGGAAGTCTTTCGCGCCCGCGCTGGGGACCGGAAAGCGGCGCGCCGCAGTGACGTAGGAGTCCGCGCCGGCCCGGCAGCCCCTCGCCCCCTTCGGACTGTCACATTTGTCGCCTTCAGACCCCCACCCTCACCTCTACATTGCTCATTCTTTCTTATCCAACGTCCAGGACCGCAGACTGAGGTAGTATCTTAAAGTGCCCAAGTTCATGTCAATCGTCTTTCCAACCAAAGAGCAAAACCACATTGTCGCCCTGCACAGCGGCATAGAAGATGCTCACATAGATTTAATATACCAGTACACAAACCCATTACAGCTAATAGGCAAAATGAGTTGGAAACAGGTTTTTCCTTCACTTTTAAGGCTGGTAATTTTAAATGCCCAAGTGTTGAGCAGGGTGTTGGGAATCAGCCCTGTCAAACACCGTTTGGTTAAAAATTTGTCCCACAGACACTATTTAACAGGAATTTAACCTCGAAAAATACTCGAAGAGGGTGCTAGGGAACTTTATTCCAGGCAGAGGCTCACAGGCGAAGAGAAAATCGTTTTGTGGAACTGAACAGTTTCTGGAATGATTAACAACCAGGGAGGAAGAAATTGGTAGGAAGTTCATGAAGAGGGCAGAGCAGAGCAGCTTAATGAGCAAATGAGTTCACTCCAGCGAACTCCTCCCTCTCTGGTGTGACTTTTGGAGTTAGCTGTGCCTGGGCTAAAATCCCAGCCCTCCCATGTAATGTTCTGTGATTGGGAGAAATTTTTTAAAGGGGGGAAAAATGGGCTTTTAGAAAAGGTAAAATAAGGACATTTTACCTTAACTGGGATCAAACAAGCTTATCGTTGTTACTTCACTAGAAAGAAGCTGGGAATTTCCCTGCAACCTGAGAAATGAATCCCCATGTCTCTCACTTCGCCAATATTCCACTACAACAAATTAATTTTAGGTAATAGTGGGCTCTATGTAGAATTTTACTTGTAGAGTACTAGTAAAAATGTTTGGGAAAGGGTAAAGCAGTTCCTGCAATCTTCTTGCCACAATTCTTTTTCTCTTGCACTCTTTACAAGGTTAATTTGGGGAAGTTTTTTTGGACCCTATAGGTGGGGATATGCAAAAAGAAAAAGGCAATTATGCAGTCTGACAAACCAAGACCTATATCTAATGTCAAAAGCAACCCTGAGGATGTTTTGCCAAATTACACTGATCACAGGGCTAGAAGAGGTTAAAGAGCTTTTAAGTTTAATGAGGTTAAAAAAAAATCATCAAAGGTGCAGGACCGTATACAAGAGGATCCACCTGAGCAAACAAAACTCATATATGCTTGTAGATACTACAGAAAATGTATAAGGTACACACAAAACTGGTTATCAGTGGCTGCTTCTAGTTAGGGGCTCTAGAAGTCTAGGGTGGGAGACTTCCTTTTCATTGTGTACAATTTAGCCTCTGAAGATTTTTTTTTCATGTGTGTGTTGTCCTTTTATAATTGTATTTCAGGCAAACAAGAAAGGTAATACTGTAACAGATATCTTGAGTCCGACCTTAAGGCTTAATAAAACGAGATTCAAATGAAGCCCCTGCATTGCCAATGCAAGAGGCAGTCTCTCTCCTGAATTTAGTGCTTATCTTTCCCATAAATGCTTTTAGCATATATAACTTTTTCTTTTAAAAAAATGCCTCAGGATTCTAGACTTTCCTACGTCCATCCCCCACACCTGCACAATGTGAGACTCCTGCTAAGAAGGAACCTGGTTTCCCAAGTGGGGCATGGAGAGAATTAGAAGAGTAAGAGTACCTATATTTGAATTCAGCTTTCTGCATTTACTCCCACGTGACCTTAGGCAGCCTCCGTCTCCCACCTCAAGGTTCAAGGATTCAACAAGATCACAAAGTTAAGACTACCGGCCCAGTGCCTCGCCTATGGCGAAGGCTTGATAAATATAAGCTATTAGTAATCCTGCCCCGTCCCCCAGGGTCGGAGCGAGAGAGACGCCTAAATATGGAAAATAGGGGTCTCGTTTCTAGCCTCAGAGATACGTCGCCGACAGGCAGGGCGAGCGGAAAGAGCCTTAGGGCGCGGCCTCGAAAGCGGCCAGCAGCCCCAGCCATCGCCCTTCAGCATGGCGGTTACCTCGGCCAACGGCCGCTCACACCCTGAGCCTCATGGTCTTAGGCTTGGATGCCGATCCTGCCAGCCAATCAACAGAGGGGACATCAAATCTCGGGCAGGCAAGCCCAGGAGCCTACGGGCAAAAGGCCAGGTCGAGGCTCCAGCAGGGGGCGCCTTTGTGTAGTGAGCTTTTCTTTTTCCCCCTGGAGCTTTTTAATTTGAGTCATTTTTTGCTGAATGTCTGGCTCCCTCGTCAGGTTGGGAACTCCATAAGGGCAGGACAGGGCAGTGCCTGCTCTCCTTAATGTTGATCTCTAGGGTTTAATGCATAATAGACACTCATTTTGTGAAAAACTAGATGAGGACTGCACCCCTGACTACCCCACCTGCAGATCAAACTTTTTAATCTTTGCCTCTGAGCAAATAGGTAAGGAAGCGCATTCTCCAGTTTGGACCCTTGTTACTCCAAGTTTGATCCCTCAGCAGCAGCATAGATAACATCTAGGAGCCTATTGGAAATGCAGAATCTGAGGCTTCACTCCAGACTTATTAATTCAGGATCTGCATTTTAAGAGCCCAGGTGATTCCTACAGCATTTTATGGTCTGAAAACAACTATTCAGTTACACCCATTTGACCTTACAGCAAGTAAATGAACATTCAAAGTCCATTTTATATATCATAAAAGTAGCTTAGGTGCCATGGGAGAGTTAGAATCTAAGACCACATCCTTCCAAAACTAAGTATTTTAGTTGTACTATCTTGAGCCCCTGTTATCTTCCTCATGTCCCAGGTGACGTTCAACCAATATTCCACTGCAAAGCAAGTCATGTGCACAGCATTCAGTCTTACCTACAGACTTATTTGCTTAGTCTAGAATAAGTTAGAAGTTTCATAAAATAGATAATTTGTAAGTTGCATTAAGATAGCTTTCCTTTAACTATATTGTTGACATTATCTACAAGAGAAAAATATCATAGAGAACTGGGTAATTATCTGAATAATTTATGTAGAAAATTCATGTTTAGAAGAATGTGACCTTTGGGTTTCAATGACAATTTTTCTTCATGTGTATTGACCCAGTCATTGGGTGAATAAAAAAAATTTTTTTTAATCCATCTCTGATTGTTTTGTTAGCAAATGTGCTATCCGAACAGCAACAACTTTGGCAACGTAGTTAAGTTATTGGGACTACAACCAATATTACTTTTTGAAAGTACAATTTGTATGATTTTGGCTTTCCATTTTAATTATGGTAGCACGAAAGTCTGACCATTTCTTACATTGTTTAGACTAAATATGCTATTTTGGGCCAGTTTGGATCAGAACAAACAGTTGTCTGTCTAGGTTTTGACCTTAGCTGTCTTAACCTCTGGGTGCCTAAGTTTCCATAGCTGTTAATAGCAGGTTTTAATTGTCATTCATTATAAAGTTGTTCTAAGGATCAGTGTCTGCTGCATATGAAGAGCTCAACAAATGTTAGGTGTGATGATTATTATTAATGAGTCACTGTGAACTGGGAAGTTAACTCAAGTATTTGTTACTAGCTTTTGAGCTTGACCTTCTGTTTGTATAGTATGCTCTTTTACATAAAAAGAGTACGATTTTTCTGCAATATCTTTAACTCAGTTACGACCTGCAGCTCTATTTTATACCCTTTTATTTAGATATATGAGATGGTGTAGATAATAGTGGAGAGATTAAGAGCATGGACTTCGGAGTTAAACGTCTAGACAAGAGTTTGGATCTTGGCTCTTCAATTTACTCTTCAGAGTGAACTTTGGCAAGGCAGTTACTTTATCTGTAAAAGGGATGCCAGTTGACCTGCCTCATAGGGTTTAAAAATTAAATGATCTATGAAATGTTTAATATAATGCCTTGCATATAAATATTAAATAGTATTTTTCAAAGGCAAATCAAGAACCAGATGCCAATTCAATGATCTCTCAACGAGTAAGTTATTTCTTCCACATCATGTCCGAAAAGATCTGACAAGGACAAATGTATCGATGGACACAACATATCCAGAATCTCTGAGGTCTGCATGCTATTCTGCAACTATTTAACGAACATGACAATTTACTAAGAGCTGTGACCTCTACAAAACACGTCACCGTTTCCCCTCATTAACCATGTCAACAATTAGGACTTTGCGTAAGGATACCAACATGTCGGTCTCTGGCGGTCTGCAGCCTAACTTGTCATGTGACATGCCCCGTCCCCTCTTTACCCGCCATTGCATCAGCCGAGTTAGAGCCACCTTCCCAGGAACCAACTAATAAGCTGACTTGTGCTCGGCGTGATTGGCATGCTGGTCGGCCAATAATATCTAGGGAAGGTAAGGTGCAGCGGATCACTTTCCATCGGCGCGCTCTGATTGGACGAGGCGGTGCGTGCTGCGGCGGGTCGTGGACTGGGGTCCGTGCATCTGCGTGTCTGCGGGAACAGGTAAGTATGGGCTCCCGGCGGTGGGCTCTGAGGGGAGAGTTAGGAACTGCGACCCTCGGGAGAAGCAGGCGGGCCTCTGAGAGAGTTCTGTGATGCTGCGACAACGGCGGAGCCCGGCCAGGCACCGTGAGGCCTACGGAACCGCGGCCTGGGCTGGAACCGGGGCTGGGGCAGTCGCTTGGCGACACCGTAGGCGAAGAGTGGCCTTTGTCAGACCCCAGGAACACTGAGGGTGGGGTGGCTTTGGATGGTCTTCCTGAAGACCAAGATCTTGGGAGGATCACCGTTGTTACTGATTACTCTCCCAAAGCTGAGGTTTTAATCTGTGGTTTTAATTCTCTAGGGGCGGCCGGTCCAGTCAGGTGAAATCTGGCTGTGAGCCATTCTCAATTCTTAAAATTAGCTAAGTAACTGATACTAGTCCAGGTCCGTCTAGAGATGCTCTCCGTGCTCCATCGCGTTCAGCTATTACTTATTCAGACAGCCTGCGTTTC